CTGACATCATCTGCTACATACTGAGTATCCAGCACTCTCAGTGCCGCCTCGCACTACTGTGATGTGACAGGATGGACACACACACACACACACACACACACGTACGTACTTTTTAACCAAAGTGGTAATTGTTTTTTGGCTTCACTTCCGTCTGTCTTTCATCAGAGTTTTATACAGAATCTACTCAAATTACTGTCCTGACATTTGTTCAGGGTGCAGTATTACAGTATTACAGTATTACAGTATTATAGTATTACAGTATTATAGCTCTTTTATAGAGTATGTTAAGTCTGGTTGTTTTTGACAGCTATGTCATTAAGCAATCGTTTAGAAATGTAAATATATATATATATATTTATATATTGAGATATATATGTATATGTATATTCATATATACATATATACACATATACACATATATACGTATATACAGTATATATATACATTTTTGTTAAATTAGAGTATATTTACATTTTTCCATTTAAATATTTTCCTATCAAATATGCTTTTAAATGATATACATATATGTGTATATACACGTATACACACACATATGTATACACAAATATATGCACAGATATAAAATACATATTTATATTTAACAAATATATATTTATATAGACATATATATAAATTGTGAACATATATTTATTGTTTTAATATCATGGAAGTTCATCTTGTTTTTAAGAAGATAATATAATATAATATAATAACTTCAGGAGGAGCCCGTCTGCTCTTGGACTTTAAAATGCATGCAAACAAACATGTTTTTTCTTTGCAATTTTCTGTTTATTAACTGACTGTTTTCACACATGATCGTTACAGTCATACAACCCGACCATGGGCAGCTGTGGTTTAAGATGTGATCAGACAGAGACGGCCCCCAGAGCTGCAGCTTCACCAACGGTCTGTCTTTACTGGTCCAGGATTATCATCAGTTACACATCAGCTCCGTCGACATAATTACCATTCAGGACTGAAATGTCACTAAAAACAAAGACGCACTGGTTCAGGATACCAACAGAAAGGCATGGCATGACCTTTTGGCACAGTAGGACGGGGGACCGGGGGGGCAAGAGGGCAGGGGAGGGGCAGCAGGCGGAGAGAGTGAGTTCATGGACGTAAACATAGACGTGAAAAAACCTGCAAACGTTCGAATATTTCTGTTGTTCCGTGTGTGTGTGTGACTGACAAAAAAAAGGGTTTGATGTTTTTCAAGAGCACTGATTAAGACGTGATCATTAGAGAAGAAATTAATTAATGAATGAATTTGAATTGACTGATCTACAGAAGTGTGTCGTTGTCATGGACTAAACTGGATTAAGTCTGTTTCCATGAAAAGAAGATAAACCCTGGAGTCACCGTGTGAATGCAGTCAACACTGCGCAATCGTTGCATCTTCCTGGACCGTTTCTGTCTTCCAAAGAAAAGAGAAAAAAAAAAAAAAAAAAAGGGGGCTGATCAACAAGGTTGAGCCCACAGAGCGTAATCACTGCTGCCTCCGGTGGTGAGGCAAAGACCCAGCAGAATGTTTGTACAACACATGGTCAGGACTGGACCATTTTTTTATGTGGATCAAATATATAGCGTTTAAAATGCAGGTGAATGCCCACGGGCTGGGAGTCTGCCCTGACCTCCTCTTCATTTGCTTCATTTCCACCTCGGCCTCCGCCCTTCCCCTTCTTCTTAGAGGTGGAGGACAGAGACTGCTTGGTTTCCGACGAAAGGCCGTCTGAAAAAAAGATTGAGAGAAATTAAAAAAAAGGAAGATGAAGATCTGAAAAAAAAATATGTAGAAATGTTGTGTCACAGGAGGAATACTCTGCTGTGTGTTGGCTAGGTGTGAGTTTATCTGATGGATAAATATCTCTCTCCCTCTCTCTCCCTCTCTCTCTCTCTCCCCCTGTCTCTCTGCCTGGTCTGTGTACAGTCAGTGCTGTATCAGAACTCTAAGTGAACTGACCTTTCAGATCAGGTGATGTTTTTTTATTCCTCTTGATGTTCGGGATCAAAACATGACTGTGGTTAGTTTGATTCTTTGTCTTATATTTTCTTTCTGT